TCTTCTCTGCTCCTGTGTTCAAAGAAAACAAACCTATTATATAGTTATGTTGAGCAAGGGTGTCTCTTCAAAAAACGTAAATTTCTGATTAAATGGAAAAATACCTAAGTCAATCAAGTAGAAACTGCAATTTGAAGACCAATTAAGATTTTTAAAACTTGTCGCTTCAATGATAATCTTTTCCTATACTAGTGGAACTTGTTCTCAATATGCTATTTATATCAATGTTTGTTTGTATTAAATAATTAAAAAAAAAAGCATAAAAAGTAATTTGAATTCTTTGCATAAATCTTATGTTACATGAATTTACAATTCGGATTACTTGTAAATGACTGGTTTAACGTAGCAATGATAAACTTACTTAAATTATGAAATAGATAGAAACGTTCTCTTGCTTAAATAAATTCCTACATTAACACTTTTTTTGATGCTAAAATAAGCTGTAAAATGATGCATGGTAGAAATATAATCTTAAATGATATTTTATCTGACTGTATATATATTTCAAAAAATTGTACTTTAAAATATGTGGAGATAACTAACAGTATTCGGGCTGAAAAGTCCATTAAACATTACAAAATAGGAGCAGAGCAAACATGGACCTCCAAGACATCAGAAGTGGGATCAGGTGCCATGGAGGAGTGGGCATCCACTGCCGACCAGTCACACCCGCCGTGTGCCCCTTGTCATGATCGGGAAATAACGGGAAAATCCGTAGACAAATCAGTTTGTATATAATGGCCTAATAATTAGTATGAAAAAAGTCAGTAAGCATTTGACGTAATAGAAGATTGCATTTGCAGACAAAGTCATTGTATGGACCACAGAACTTACGAAACGTTGACTTTAAACGAGACTACTGATATTCTTTTTTCATCAACTATGATAAATCATCCATTGGTGCTAAGAATATTTATTATTTAATTAGCCTTAAATGATATATATTAAAATAAAAATAAGGAAAATCCCTACAACATATGCTTGAAGACAAAATACGTTCAACCTCTGACTTCCTAAATGTAAATAGGAAAAAGGAAGAAAAAATAAATGTAAAGAAGTTTAATCTAACGCAGGAATGAAAGATGAGAAAAATCATACATTCAAACCTTTTTTCTGACGTTCGTCAATGGATGAAAGAAAGACATTTAAATATGAGAAAGAAGAAAAAAAGTTAAACGAATATTTTGATATAAAAAGAAATATCGGCTAAAAAGTTGAAAAAAGAACAGAGAAAAAAAATATCGGTTAATCTAATGGAATAAAAAAATTGCACCTCTTTTAATTTGTTCATCACATAAATGAATCAATAGTTTTTTTATTCAACAAAAAAAAGAATACCAAGAATATATTGAATTTCTTAGGAAAGAAAAAATCAAACATATTGTGAAATAATCTATTCAAAAGATTCATACCTGCCAAGATCTATTCTGAATATTATTTTTGCTATATTTGAATATTTTTTTTGGGGGGGGGGGGGGTATCTGTTTGGAAAAAATCAAACATAGCGTGGACTATTCCATCCAAGGATTTATACGTTAGACTTTAAGTCTATGTTGAGATCTATTCCGAATATTATTTTTGCAAAATTCTGATCGTTTAAGAAAAATGATGTCGAAATTCAACGAAATTAAATTCTTTGCATGTCACCCTCGCTTATTTAGAAAACTGTCAAAGAAAGTGTGACATTAAATTGTAACTTTTTTTATTCAAATGCTGTATACTTTGAGCGCCCTAACAGAAAATTTCAAAAATAATTTTCACGCTGAATATGTATGAATAATACAGAATGGTTGCATAGTCCATTGAAGCCCAGGATAACGGCTATTTCAAAGCAGATCTCAGATGTCAATCTTACTAAAGAATATTTCTAAAATCTACTTTGATAAACAATAAAATTGATAAGAAGAAATAAAGGTGACACATTCTGTCTTCTGATAGCATGATGTATGATTTTGATTATAATATCTGGAATGTAAGGATAGATATGAAACATATGTTTTGAAAGATATTAATTCTGTCACTTTGGAACCCCAACGCTTTAGATCGTACTCCCTTGAGTACTGATTAAGTAATACACTTAATATTGGTTCTTAAAAAAGAAGAATCTTCTTATTACGCGCCATATGCTATCCGAACATATCAACACATGGTATCCGAAAAAGAGATTGAAAATGGCGGAAGAAAAGAATAAAGATAAAAAAAATCTAAAGGGAAAAAAGAAGACAAGAATAGAAAAATCTTAAATGATATAATCATAACGTGACGTCCGTTTGATAGAAGTAGAAATCCTTATATAAATTATGGGAAAAGGCATAAGATAATGACAGTCAAACTGAAAAAAAAAGTTAAGAAAAAATGTGGACGAGAAAAGATAGAAATATATTTTTTCTTCTTTATGGAATAAGACATTTTCAGTCTTGAAGGTTTGGAGCTTCATTTTTCTGGTCATTTATCTACGAATTATTATGTTATAAAAAGTAGTCTCCTTTGTTAACATCAAACCACCGTTTGCAAGCGATGTATTTTTCATTATCAACTGCATATGGGGTTTATGTCTCAGTTGATTTGAAACGCAAGAGCATGCTATACGTATTCGATACCCTCTACGTATATACAATTTCTAAAACGAGGCAAATTATTGACAAACAAGTTGATGGAACAAGGATATCAATAGTCTCGTTTGCAGTCATCATTTTGCAAGTTTAACGGTCGATACTGTGACCTTGTCAGCACATAGAACCTCTCATTAAGTCAACTGATGACTGATATTTTTCATACTAATTAGTAGGCCATTACTTATACACTGAACTGTCTAGGAGCACGCGGCTTGTGTGACTGGTCGGCAGGGGATTCTCACTCCTCCATGGCACTTGATCCCATCTCTGAATTTTTAAGTCCGTGTTTATTCTGCTCCAAATTTGTATCGTTTCATTGGACTTTCCAGATTGAATTCTGTTTGTTATTTTCATATTTTATTAGTATGTGAGTCTCTCTATCTAAAACAATTTTTTTCTGTCTATAAGACAATTATATCAAACATGATAATCTTATTCTTTTGTTTATAGTGTGTTATTTGTTCGACCTCAAACTTGCTGATCACAAAGTTAAATTGAAGATATTGAAAAGATTCTTAGCAAAGGTTAACAAACAATACAGGTACCCAAGATGACATGTAAAATAATTTCTTTACGATCCAAGCAAAGCTTATTATTTGAATATTTTTTTTCAAAGTTCAATATCGAAAGTCCCCAGCCCAAATGTTTTTACGCAAAAAGTAAAATTTTATTAATAAATGCCGGATTTAAAAAGAAAAAAAATACCGAAAAATAAATGTATTAAAGTTTTTAAGTATAATGCAGCCAACGGATTATATTATCCAAAATTTCGAAATATCAAGAAACATTATTTACGAAATCTACCGAATTTAAAATCCTTAAGTATCGTTTTGGCTTATTTGGGAAGGAAGTTGTGAAATAAAAATAACAATTATAATGAAAGGTCACTTGGATGAGTCCAAGTTTAAAATAAAATAAATGATGAATGCCCTAGCAAAAATTTCATTTTTTTAATGCTGATAGTGATGAACGAAACAAATCGGCAGCATAATCTTGTGGACCCCATAGAACACTTTTTATGCTAAAGACGGGAAGAAGGAAAACTGAAAAGATGGACAACAATTTTTATTTAAATTTTATAGATCCTTTGTGATGTGAACGAATGTGCTCCGTTCCATTAATCAGTAAAGTAAGAGAATTACAAGGTTTGAACCTTTCTTTTTGGCTGTTTTAAAGTTCCGAAGAGTATAACAAGATACCTGGTCTTAAATATATTTTTCGAGGCGACAGGAATAAGTAATACAGTTTGCTATTTCAAAGAACGAGAGTGAAATGTGCGCCAATGGAATTCTTCCGTAGTTCAAAAAGGAACATCTTAGAACTGTATCAACGGGTCTTTCCCTGCAATTATAATAAACACACGACAAAAAGAAATAACTGCAGTGGTAAGGGTCAATGAGAAGTAATTTCCTCCATATCATAAACACCTTTCCTCGTCTTATTATTATAATTGTTTGGAAAAATGTAAGTGAAAAATCTGATACATTAAAACCTTGCAGTGAAGCCATGGGGATTGTTTTGAGGTAAAATTAAAAATATCCTTGGTTGATTTTTAAAAAAAAACTTTTTAAAGAAGTTGTTCAAATTTGGAGAATGTAAATGTGGAATATTAATTAATTGATTGGCCATGATATTAGTGAGTGGCGTAAAACGGCAATGTCAATTATGATGATCGACCATAACATTAAGGTTTCTCCTCCCTTCGAGTTTTCATGGTTAAATACATGTAATTGTTGTTTAAATTTAAAGAATAATATCTTAAGAATTAAAATAAAGAAAAATATTTATAAGTTGCAAACCTTTTTTTAATTCTGTGGCAGTTTACATAAGTACACTATTTATAACATATTAGCGAGGATTGCTGTTAAATCAAATATCACATAAAAACTATATTAATATGCAAAATCTACAGCAAATCTTTGCATAAAACAATACAAATACTTTATTTTATTTGTTAAAACAATATAGAGCCATTAAACCTTTCAGTCTTCAATAATGGTTCAAACTTTATACTATTCCAATTATGACTACATTTTCTCCCCACTTTCTACATGTACATGACAGTTCAATAGACATATGTACCGTACATAAATATACAATGTATGTATGCTTACATACTAAGATAATCCACAACCTTTTGAATAATCTTTGAGGATTTTGTTATTCTTACACTCTTCGGATTTCCTTTCAATGGTTCTGAAAATATATATCTAATCCCATTTTCTGGGTCTCTAGCATGAATTTGTCTTAGTTTTGTCAAACAAAGTCCACAGACAACCAATTTTCGAAGTATTAAAGCTGACACAACTTTGCCTCTTAACAATGGCTCTAAAGACTCTTTACATGTGTAATATGATAAATAAAAAGCATTTTCAGACACTGTACTTTCTGACAGACACAACTTAGAGTAATATAACTTTTCTAATGCTGTCACATCTGCCATCGCATTATGAGCCTCATATTCTTCTCCTAATAGATTCTGAACCAATGTCTCTTGCTTGTAGTTTGGAAGCTGGATAACTTTCAATAATTTCTTGGAAATCTTTAGAGTATCTAAAAATCCAGTTACATTCTTACGAAATCTTTCAAGAAGATCACAGTTTCCCAAATGGTGTCGCAGTATTGGTAAGTCAAAGTTTTGAATGTTGTGTCCCACTAACACTGGAAGGTCAAAAGACTCCGCAGGTATGTTAAGGCAGTACCCAGATCATATTTCGGCGAATTTAGACTTTTTTAGTAAAATGTAACATTGATAAATCGGAAAAGCCTTAGATAAAACATTTACTATTATTATCCATTGTATAGACGTCATTGAGTCTTAGGCTAAAAGAAGCACTCCACTACGACGTCATCACGTGACGTCTATAAATAGAAAAATTGCCTTAATGAAAAAGTGAAAAGTTCAACACTACCCTAGAAATAATTCATTTCTTTTAGTGAAAATAATTATGTAAAAACATCACTGGGCTATGAAAAGTGCTGCTAGAATCCTACTCTCCCGACACAGAAAAAATTTTTCAAAAGTTTCGCATGAAACCTTTCCGAAATTTTTACATTTTATACATACGATCAAGGAATTGCTATCAATTCATGTTAACCACACGATTCTAGCAGCACATTCCAAATACTATAGAATACAAGCTTTCGATACAGACAAAAGTTATGTTTCAAAGTATGCGGCGTAGTGTTGAACTTTTGCATCTTTGTTGACATAGAGCGACAGAGGAAAGGCTGATCGGGATTTCAAAGCACTGCCTGTGTTCATTATAAAACATGATAAGAATATATCAGCATACCTGATTCTTCATCTTTAATTCCTTATGAATCACACACAACATTCACGGTATATGCTTTAAAACTCCCATTTCATTTACATGAATTCTCGTCACCTTTAATTTCACTCGGCAAATATTTGATCAATAGTTATGGGTTTGGTATTTAACCCCCGTGCTAAATAAGTAGCTATTTATACCACCCAAAAAACGACAAGATTTAGTTTATATTATGTTTTGAATGATTCCATTCATTTCTTGGACCTGAAAATAAACTTTAAATATAGATATAAAGAAATCATTATTTCTAAAGTTCTCGTTATACCGCTTACTATGACGTCACATTGTAAAGGCAAGTAGGATATCTCTGGGTATAGCCTTAACATACCCGCGTCTAAAAATGTAAGAAACTTGGTGAGTGTTTCAGATGGAGGAAATGCAGTGACTGCTTCTCCCTTGTAGCAGAGGTTGTTTCCATCGAAGGTCAAAGAGGTTGCTTCAGACGCTTCCTTGCTGATGGAGCGAGTAGGCAAGGCATACACTGAGAACTCCTTTTCTTTGCATTTTGCAGCAATTTGAAGTATATCAGATGTTCTTCCGATAGAAAGAAACAAAATGTGTGATCTTATGATATTGGCATACTCAATGTAATGATTACAAGAGGGATTTTAAAAGTATTATATGATTAACAAACACCTATAAATTATACATGTACTGAAATTTAAATATGAACAAACCTAATCCGACTATTTCCAAATCAAAGAACACCAATGGATGTGTATGCAGATGGTCAACAGGGGCATCCAGTTGAATATCATCTATATCTAGGTTTTCTTCAGCCTCTAAGCATATATTTGGCTTATATGTATCTCCTTGAAAAATAAATCATTTTGTTTTCAGATTGTATCAACATATCTCGTATATCAAAGATGACGAAATCACTAAAAATTAGTCAATACTTAATAAATGTACATACTAAATAAATGTACATGTACCTTCAAGAACAGACTGTGAGGCATTCTTAGATTGCCTTTCAGCTTTTAGTTGCAGTCTTCTTCTTTTGACACTTGGTTGTGCATTTCTCAGGCGCTTTCTTTTCAGCTTAGCATCCTTGAGTCTCATGTGTCTCATGGTGTATGTACCAGGTGATATTTAGCTACAAATCAAAGTACTTAATTACTAAACATTGAAACACATATCAGCACATTAGACACACGAGAAAACAATTATAATAATTGTGGAAGTTAAAAGTAAATTCTTCTCTTGAAGTTCCAAGACATATCACTGGTTACAAATTTTAAGTTTATATTATTATTTAATACATATATTAGAAAGAATTAATGTTATAAATATTAGTTGGTAGAGTCCCATATTTAAAAAAAGCAAAAGTAAGGTGCAATTAAACAGACATAAAACAATATTCAAATTACTTTGAACAAAAATAATGCCCGAAATTCTTCAAATATAAAGATGATAAATAACATCAAAAAAACCAAATCATAAATGGCTGCAAGTAACACATTCTACCTCAGATACGTATTCAAAACCATCATTTTTTTGGGCAATCTGTGGCAGAGAGCCTTGAGGCAAGGCTTTCTGAGCCCCCATAAAACCTGCATTACAGATGTATTGCAAAATAAGCTACACTGCTCTTATATATTTATTGCTATTGTTTATAAATATTAAATGCTATGGGGGGTGAGTACATGTAACAATTTGCTCACCAAGATTAAAAAAAGGTTTGTTAGCGCGCTTAGCCAAGAACAGGGGTGAACCTTTACCACCGATTCATTTGGAAGGTGACCGGAATAACATTGATCACACTGAATGTGAACAATTCGTGCACTTAGATCATGATTATTTTGGTGTAGAGGAAGAAGTGACCGTGTGTGATGATGGATATCCCTCTATAGACAACGGTAAAAGCTATGATTGGCGGGTGGGTAGACGTATTGTGGAATTGAGCGTTCTTGCAGATGGGTTAAGGGCTTGTCAGCTTTGCCAGTCCCCCCTACATTTACATAACTGCATAAATGAACGAAAGTTTGGACTTTCCCAGATCTTGGAAATTAAGCGTGAAAGCTGTCAGCTAGTAAACGACGTTGCCACAGGAAGCCGTCATCGGACAGAAAGGGGGGGGGGGGGGCTGGCATGGGATGCCAATACAAAACTAGCAGCAGGTAAGATGGCCAGTGTAAAATAACACGATAATTTGTCGATACACGATAAAGCCAAGCTTGGTAAATTATCCGTTTTTCTTACGCAGCAGATGTTCGTTTTTGGCGGACATTGTAAACACATGTGAGATAAGGCTAGGTATAGGCGTTCCTATGCAAATGAGCTAATAAAAAAGCACAAGAGGTATATTTTTATTATTCAGAGAAAGTGTTGATTTATTTTCTTATGCATACTTAGTACCAACGATATGTTATAGCCAGTACACATTATGACGTCATATTATGACCTCACTGATCTTACCTACTGGAGGTAATAAAACACATCAACAAAACAGCTTTGGCGCAAGGGATTACCCTATTTATTTTTACATAAAAATTGTATAATGCTTAGAAGAATATTCTATAGATTAATAAAACTGCTGCACAAATCCAAGGCATTTTCTCATTTGATCGGAATTTGAGGAAACTTATACCGGAAGGTACATTTTTATCTTTATTTAACTTAAAACTTTACTAATAGACATTATACAATTGAGCTGTTGAAATTTGTGCAGCAATTCTAGCAAGCTTTAGAATATTTTGCTTCTAAATATACCTTGCTTCAGTTAAATAAAATAGAGCATGCCCTTGCGCCGAAGCATTTTTGTTGATATCCATTATAATCTTGTGTAGTAAAGAACAATGACGTCATAATATGACGTCATAATGTGTACTGGCTATCTCATGTCGTAGGTACCAAGTATGTATTAGCCAATATGTTTTAACTTTCTCTGTATAATAGATATAGAACTTAGGCATTTTAATTAGATTTTTTGCATAGAAACGCCTATACCGAGCTTTAACTCACCTGCGAATGCATAGCCGGACTTCAACTACCGCTAACTAATATTAAAAACGATAACGGCATAAATATTCCGGAATATTCCTCGTGATGCTGATGACATCATACGACAATCGAAACACCTTAATGAAGATTTGAAACATCGACACTCTGCCCGCATTTGTTCAACTCAATTAACAATGGGGAAAGATATAACGGACAAGAAAAAAATTCCTTAAATGCCATTCTGTAAATTCATTTTACACAAAATACGGATGGGTATTGAATTTAAAATAAGTAAGATTTCACCAGTCATTTAACACTATGATAGGATTTTCACTCTTCCCTTTTTTATTGTGATTCCCCGAACACAGAGGTATGTTATTTATACAATTGTGTTTTCTATGTTAAATTTAATTATATAACGGACTGTTTAAGATTTCTCGGACTTCTTAATCTTATTTTCACCCTCCCTTAAAAGACTCCTACAATGGGAAGTATTTTCTCTCATCTGGAGTCTGGAAATATCAAATTAGATGTCCAATTTATTACGCAGGTACGTTAAGGCAGTACACAGATCATATTTCGGCGAATTTAGACTTTTTTAGTAAAATGTAACATTGATAAATCGGAAAAGCCATAGATAAAACCTTTACTATTATTATCCATTGTATAGACGTCATTGAGTCTTAGGCTAAAAAAAGCACTCCACTACGACATCATCACGTGACGTCTATAAATAGAAAAATTACCTTAATGAAAAAATGAAAAGTTCAACACTACCCCGGGGATAAATTATTTCTTTTTGTGAAAATAATTATGTAAAAACATCACTGGAGCATGAAAAGTGCTGCTAGAATCCTACTCTCCAAACACAAAAAAAATATTCCAAATTTTCGCATGAAACCTTACCAAAATTTTTACATTTTACACATACGATCAAGGAATTGTCATCAATTTATGTTAACCACACGATTCTAGCAGCACTTTCCAAGTACTATAGAATACAAGCTTTCGATACAAACAAAAAATATGTTTCACAGTATGCGGCGTAGTGTTGAACTTTTGCATCTTTGTTGTTATAGAACGACAGAGGAAAGGCTGATCTGGATTTCAATGCACTGCATGTGTTCATTACAAGAAAACATGATAAGAATATATCAGCGTACCTGATTCATAGTCTTTAATTCCTTATGAATCATACATAAAATCCACGGTATATGCTTTAAAACTCCCATTTCCTCTATTTGTTCACATGAATTCTCGTCACTTTTCATTTTCACTCGGCAAATATTTGATCAATAGTTATGACGTCATGGGTTTGGTATTTAACCCCCGTGATAAATACTTAGGTATTCATACCACCCAAAAACTACAAGATTTAGTTTAAATTATGTTTTTGAATGATTCCATTCATTTCTTGGACCTGAAATTAAACTTTAAATATAGATATTAAGAAATCATTATTTGTAAAGATCACGTCATACAGCTTACTATGACGTCATATTGTAAAGGCAAGTAGGATATTTCTGGGTGTAACCTTAACATACCCGCGTAAATGGCAACATGGTATTATAATATAATGGTATTGATAAAAACTACATTAATACTGCCTCCAAAGAAATAAAATACCACAAGTTTGAAAAAATCCTGATTATCTTAATAATATTGATTTTTTACACAAAATATAGCTTATTTAAGTTGAGTATTTTTCAGATTTCAATTATTTTATAATGCATAGTAACAGATCACATTCCTCGACTCTCAGAGACTGTCTACGTGGGATTGTGTCATGAAATAGAGAGTCCTACAGAAGTGAGCATCAGGAGAGAAGTTATGGACACTTATGAATAAAATATATGGAGATAACGAACAGTATTCAAGCTCAAAAGTCCATTAAACAATACAAAATAGGAGCAAACACGGACCTCTAAACATCAGAGGTGGGATCAGGTGCCATGGAGGAGTGAGCATCCCATGCCGACCGGTCAAACCCGCCGTGTGCTCCTTGTCATGATCGGGAAATAACGGAAAAATCCGTTGACAATTCAGTGTATAAATAATTGCCTAACAATTAGTATGAAAAACGTCAGTCAGCATTTGACTCAATGATAAATTGTATTTGCTGACAAGGTCATTGTATACCATAGAACTTACGAAATGATGACTTTAAACGAGACAGCTGATATTCTTGTTTCATCAACTTGTTTGTCAATAATTTACCTCGTTTTAGAAATTGTACATACGTAGAGCATGCTCTTGCGTATCGAATCAACTGAGAGATATATACCCCGTATGCAGGTGATGAAGGTATATTGCTGCATAAGTAAGGGAAATGAATGAGTAAACCTGTGGATATCAGACAGGGAATGGAAATGATCAAGAGTGGAAGTGAGCGTGAGGGATTCTGACTGAAAACTTCAGATACATATTTGGTGTTTTGGTCTAAAGAGATTTTTGGCCTCAAGGTAATCTGTGATCTCTCTCAGAGCAGTCTCTACCGTATCCCACAACACACTATGGTTCTGATGGAGTGTGATGATCTAGCATCGAGATTTACCAGACTGAGACTCCCCTCAAATGAGCTAGTAATCAGATCCTGTGTAACTAAGAATAATAAAATACTTTTTTCAAGTACATTACTTCGATTTTACAATTTCCAAGTCATCCAGTTCAGACATGCTTTCTTCGCTTCTTCCACTCCTCATGGACCCTCTTCCTCCAATATCAAAAAACTTGGTAGGGATTCTGATCATGTTTTTTTGGTCACACAAATGGCCGACAACAGCTCTACCATGGATACAGTGATGCCTTAAACAAGGCTGGTCTTCTGAGATTGCTCTTTTGGAAATATCAAGTGTAGGATTCCATGTTGTTCCTGTCGCCAGCAGACCTGAAAATGAAGAAGAATGGAGAAACGCATTCTCAACAGCAGACCTGTGTATTCAATGAATCATTGTCAGTTTTTGTGTAATGGTCTTTTAAAATCTTTCTTAAAGGTAGCCATTAATTTTCAAAAAAATAATCCGGTTCTTTGTTCATACTTCATCAAAACATATGTATTTTGGGTTATTCAGAATAATAATTCTTCGAGCCGGAAACCAGCAACTTATTGTCTTATATCTGGAAACGCTTTAAATTATTGA